GTAGTTCCTTCTGCATTTTTTCGGGTTCCTATTTATGGAGTGTGTGGGTCATGAATTTATAACATTGTGGAGACCAGATGTCTCCACAAATTTTATATTTAATATTCGGGGGGGGGGGGGGGGGCTGGGCAAAACAGCATTTCAATACACTGTATACTATGTATATTATTGTACTGACAATAAATCCCTCTTGAATCTTATGTCCCCTCAATGTGATGAAACCCTGTAATTTTGACATTATGGGGACCATGTTGTTTCCCACAATGGGAAATTCAATTTTAAATTAATGTGTGACTGTGATCAAAAAATCTAAACATACCAAAAGTCTCGTATTTTGTTTGGTTACTTATGGTTAAGGTTAGGGCTGGGTAGGGGTTTAGGTCGTCGTGTTGGGATTAGAGTTATGCCCACAGGAATGAATGCATGGTCCCCACAAAGATACAAAATTTGTGTGTGTGTGTGTATGGCACTCACCAGCCCTTTGAACTCCTAGAGAGCAACTTTTATGGTGGGATCAAAGGCCCAGGTGGTGGGGGGGGTGGCTGTGGACACTTAAAGATGACTCAGCACCGCCCTCCCGTTCCTGAGAAAGCTGTCCTAAGAAAGGCCTGATTTTAAAATAAATATACATTTTGCTTATATGTGTGAAACCCTTTGACCACCAAAGCATCACATCCTGAGTCATCGTTTTTTTCCTGTATGTGGCTGACTCTCTTCCTCTGGACACTGCCTTCTGGTAAACGTGCCTTATTCGGGGGGAGGGGAACCAGGTGGTTTAACTTATTTTTACTTTGTTACAAAAACACCGGGAGGGGGTAATGACACGCTCTCAGCTCTTTCACTAGCCCTGTAATCTCTGCAATGGAAACTTTCAAGCTGCTATTCATAAGTAAGAGCATGAGCTTCTGGCAAAGGAAGTCCCCCGTGACATCACTTCCTGTGACATCACTTCCTGTGGCCTGTCTAACATGTCCTTGTCTCCTCTTCCTCCTCCTCCACCAGCTTGAATACAATTAGGTTAATGCCTCGCCTTGCAAGGAACGCCAATGAAGTCAATTTGCCGTAATGTGGCTCCTAGCTTTTTGGACATCCGGGGGAATGCTAATGAGTGAAGAGGTTGCTGGCTGCTCCGAGGGGAGCGGGAGGGGCAGAGTTATAAATCTCAGACAAAGCAGCGGCGTCCTGACAGGGCTGTGGCTGCAGCGCTGAAATACAAATGAACTTCTCCAGCCTTTTGACTTTAAAGTCATTCTGTCCTTCACTGCCTTTCCATTTGTTTTTGGTGTCATCAGAAAGGACATTTAGGAAAGCTCCGGAAAGTTTTTGACCCATAGTAGTTTTTTTTCTTTTTTTTTTTTTTTTTTACATTAAAAAGAATCCATATGTTGATGTACATCTTGAATAAACACAGATATCCTTGCCCATCACTTGTGTATTTAACACTTCAGCTATGAGTGCTGAATGTATCACAGCCATAGACTTGTGTCAGTTTTACACTATAGTCCGTTCTATTCACTTCATGTAGGGGTAACGTAACAATGTAACAATGGCATATGATGTCATAATGTAACAATGGCATATGATGTCATAATGTAACAATGTAACAATGGCATATAATGTCATAATGTAACAATGTTTTTGGCTCATCAGTGTGTGTCATATATATATATATGTGTGTGTGTGTGTGTGTGTATATATACATACACACACACTTTATTAGACGATACACATAGTCTGATCTTCCAGAAGGGTAATTGGTGGCTTTTCACTTAGGCTGGGTAAAAAACATTAAAACTAATGAAGGTGTGTGTGTGTTTTGTCATGTATAATGTATCACGCATGCACTGAAATGTTCCACTGTCCTGTCAGACTGGCTCACTGTCGTGATCGCCCCTCTGCCAGCTGTGAGTCTCAGCGTCTGGCATGAAGGCCGGAGCATAATACAAGCCGCCTCTCTGCCACGGGTCACCTTCATCCCCTCCCCCATGTTCGGCTACAATGCCAGTCAGGTTTTATGACATTATTCACTCGGGGGGGGGGGGGGGGTGGATAGATCTGTGCAAGGACGCCACTGGTGCACTTAACCGTATTAGAGGCAGAGTCTCGAAATAGATGGGCGTGAGGAATGGCGCACGTCGCGTCCCTGGGTGCCCGTTTTGCCGCAAAGTGGCACCAATTGCCCCCGCACCTTGATGACATCATTTGCATTCTGTGAGTGGGATTTGTTCCACACCCCCTCTTTAGACGATACAGACACTGATCTCCCAGAAGGGTCATCAATGGTTTTTCAATTAGGGGAAAAACACATTCAAATTAATTAAGATGTGCAGTTCACCTCTCTTGCATGTCTCTGTGAACACAAGAGTCTCCTAAATGGAACATTATCATTTTAATAGGTTTTTGCATTTCTGGGTTGTTGTCTGTGTGCTGCTCTGGTGCAGTGGATCCTGACATTTTTTCCTGTGTCGTGTTTAAACCCAGGCTCTGATCCAGCTGCCTGTGTACATATCCCAGTGCGAGGAGGTCCGCGTCTTCTTCGAGACCCGTCCCGAGGATCTGAACCCGCCCACAGAGTAAGTCTCAGTCCATTTTCTTCAGCAGAACCAACGCAAAACTCCTGACAGCAGTAAATATCGATCCGGTTGGCTCACAGTTTTCCATTAGTAATCCGGAACAATCCGTCAGGCATTGAAGTGGCTGCCAGACGAGGGGCTGCAGCCTCACAGCAGACTGGGGGCTGCGGCCTCACAGCAGACTGGGACCCGGGTGGCTGGTGTGAGCTTTTGCCAAGGTGCCTCTTTTAGCAGGATTATGGCTCCAAGCGCACCTGGCCTGTTAAGCCTTCTGAGACCGCATGTCACCTCACTTTCACTCCCCCAGTGGTTTCAGCTGCTCCAGTTTGACAGTAGTTAAGCTGTCCTTTACATTTGTCTGCGGTGTCACATCTCCTCGGCTGGGGGTTCGAATCCTACTCCCTGCTCTGTTCGCGGAGTGGCCATGAGTTTTTGCCGGGTACTCCGCTTTCCTCCCACAGTCCAAAAAATCATGATTAGGTGGAGCAGCATCTCTAAATCACCCTTCATCTCTGAGGTATCCCGTCCAGGGAGTCCCCTGCGCTTCCTGTGATTGGCTGAATTGGCTGACAGGTATCCCGTCCAGGGAGTCCCCTGCCTTGCACCCTGTGCTTCCTGTGATTGGCTGAATTGGCTGACAGGTATCCCGTCCAGGGAGTCCCCTGCCTTGCACCCTGCGCTTCCTGTGATTGGCTGAATTGGCTGACAGGTATCCCGTCCAGGGAGTCCCCTGCCTTGCACCCTGCACTTCCTGTGATTGGCAGGCAGGTGTCCTGTACTCGAATAGTGCCGGAATATGGAAGGCTGGAAGTTGATTTGATGTGTTTATCCTAAGAGGTGTTTAATTTCTACTCTTTTCCGCTGCCAGACATTTCACTGCTGGGCATTGTTCCTAAAAGTGTGCCACTTGGGATTTGAGCCTGGAACCTTTTGGGATTTGAGCCAGGAACCTTTTGAGTTTGCCTTTACAACCTTAACCTCTCCACCACCTGGTAGCCTGGCCAGCCTGCCTAATCCCCCCCCCCCCCCAGCCTCTCTACACTCAGTCTGCCTAATCCCCCGAGCCCCCGCGGTAATCGACAGAAACGCCCGGTAGGCATTTCCTGACCTCGTCGATTTGGGTGTTGGCCAGACCCCAAGATCCCGGGACGGACCCCGATCTTACGTTAGGTAACACATGAGGTGGACAGACGGTGGACGCCGCCGAGGAAGGGGGGAGGAAGGGACCAGCCCGCCGCTGGGGGCCCAGCATTGAGCTGGGGCTGCCGGTCCCCCCCCCATCTCTCTAGAAGGAGAGGTTTTCTTCTGGCAGCAACCAAGGACAAATTCCTTATTACCTTTTCTCAACATATCCCAAGCATCTGCTGCTTGTCAGAAGTGGGAGATTAATGTGGAAAGGACCTTGGTTTGTTCTTTATTAAAATTGGATTACTGCTTTCTCTTATTTGGGCTTTTTGTGATTTGACGTGGCGCCAGAGGCCCGTTCCGGGCCGTGATAAAGGATGACGTACCGTAAATCCAAGAGGCAAGCAGGGACATCAAGCAGTATGGAGTGAGGGATTGAATTGGCAGGCGAAGGGAGGGGAGGCACCCCCCCCCCCCCCCCCAGAGGACTGTCCTGTGTACTGGGGGGTCACACTGCATGACAGTGCTTCGGGGCCTGGTCATCTTCAATAAGGGGTCCTCAGTCTCCGCTTCCAGCTGGAGATAGTTATCAACTGGCTGGGCATCTATCGTGAATCCTACTAGATATCAACTAGGTGAACTTTTACGGTGAATCCTACTAGTTATGTACTGGGTGGACTCCTACCATGAATCCTACTAGTTATGAACTGGGTGGACTCCTACCATGAATCCTACTAGTTATGAACTGGGTGGACTCCTACCATGAATCCTACTAGTTATGTACTGGGTCCTTTCTGTGTGTTCTGTCTAGTCACAAGCTCCTTCCAGAACTTCCAGATCTCTCATTATCCTCTAGATACTGTGATGTTTGCTCTTTCTCTGGTAACATTTTCTGCTGCATGGGAGAATAGCGGAAAACCACAATTTGCCATAAAATTTTAAACATGCAATTGTATGAAAATGAAACTGGAGTACACAAGGTCAGCTGTAATGGCGAGTTATAGTCTTATATTAGCGGAACTTAAAGCCGTTTTCTCCAACTTCTCATCCTGATTGGTTGACTATTATTGTTAGGCCTATTGAAACTATGGAGGCTGCATGATGACACACAGTTGGCTCATGATCATGATGTCGGACCAAGGGGAGTGGTGATTGGTCGAGGACAGACGGATTAAGCTGGCCCATTGGTCCTTTAGCCCTTCACAGTGAACAAGAGCATCTGGCTGCTGGATTGACCCAGGCCAATGAAGACTAATGTAGTACTGTAGCCTAAATGAATGCAACGGATCACGGGATTGGCTGCCTGCTTTGTCCATTCATTTCTGTTCCTTTGTATGTCTCTGAGGTCCAGTTTAAAGAAACCAGGTCTTTTCTGGATTCATTTAAGGTAAAGAAGAACAGGAAAGAAAAATTGCAGGAGTACTGAAATCATACTTTATTTGAAGCACATTCACCAGGGTTTGGTGATGCTGGGTGTTTTATCACTTTTGACTTTATCTTTGTCATATTTGTCAGAAAGCCCTCATTTCCTGTTCCTGTGCTTCCCCATGCCCCCTCTGGGTTTCCATGGCATCCCTAAATGCACATTCGCACGACGTCCGGGACACAGTGCTCATGCTGTCTTTCCATATCGGTCATTAATGGGTCTACCCCCTGTACCAGAGGCGGGAATGTTTCTGCCCTCCATCTGTCTGGGTCCTCCGTGGTTCAGGTCACCTCTGCGGTTCAGGTCACCTCTGCGGTTCAGGTCACCTCTGCACAGAGACCTCACCTGCAGCACTCATTTTGCTTTATAGACAAGGATGTGTATGCAGGGGGGCGGGGCTACTACAGCACCCCCCCCCCAGCTGAAAGCTGATTGGGCCCCAGAGTTCCCCTTCCCTGTCAATCACAGATTTAAAACATATCATTGGCTATTGATAAGGCTGGCCCCTCTTCTGCCCCTACCTTAAAAAAAAATCCTAGAATCGTCCGTTTCCTGACCAGGTGTGGAGCCGCAGCATTTTAATCCAATAAAGTAAAATACTGATTTAGGTTAAAGGGACTGACAGTATACCATACTCATCTGTTACTGGCACAAAGAGATATCACTGTGTTTGGCGATTTAAATAAGCCTTTCATTTTTCCTGCGGCCCTGGTACTTGCTGGGGCGCTAGGATGTAGCCAGAGAGCCCTTAGGATTTTTGTTTCAACTGGCTGGCTGAACTAGTCCGGACTTGCACTTTCTGAACCTGAACTTTCCACCTCTGCCAGTGAAATCTATATGCCAAGCAAGTAAGGGAGGTGTGACCTTCTCAAATGTTGTACATCCTGAAATCTGTTTTTACTGACTGTCGTCTGTTTTGTTTTCACAGAGACCCAATCGGAAAGAAGAGATTAGGTAAGTTTTATTACTCTTAAACTAATAACGATTCAGGGTAAGTTCCAAGTGACCTTTGGAGTGTTACATGTCTGTATACATGCCTAGTATTCTTGGGAATTTTGGAATATTTAACATTTTTAAAAATGCTTGTAAGTTACAAGGTCCCTTTGTCCTTACAGGCCAAGTGAAATTTCCAAAGTTAAATCAGGCAGTGGCATCCATCACAGCTGAAATGCTGAGATTGCGTGCTGACGCGAAAGTTAGAGCTCCCTCTAGTGACGGGTCTTCTCACCGACTGCTGTAATTCATGTCTACAAACATGCCGATGCTGTTAGGGTGAATAAAAAAAATTTAAAAATCGCAGAGAAAGTCCCCAAGCACAGAAAATAACTTAAAGAACTTAGATTAATTTGAGATGTGAATGTTTTCATAAATTGCACGCAATTTCTAATAGTGTTTGGTGTCTGAGGTAGGGTCAGCCTTATTTATCTGGACCAGTGAGCATATATTCCTAAATTTGCCCACCATATTTCTTATTTAGGAACCTAAACAAATTCATGCAGTTGCCCTCGAATGACTCAGCTTAAATATTGTCTGTTCTTGTGTTCTCCTTTGCAATCTGGAAATAAGTAGAACAGAATTGTGAAGTTTCTAACAGGTATGTGTTAACAGAAAATGGCTACAGGAAACTTGATGCAGCTGCAGTCCTCTTTGACCTCTGTTTGACCTCTGACCTTTGTCTGGCCACGCCCACCTGTTGCACTTCCCTCACTACTGCTTTCATTCATTTTCCTTCATCAGGATTTGTGGAGAGAGCGACTTCTTTCCTAAAGAGAGGTAGTAACTCGCTTGGTCCTGCTGTGTGTGTGATCTCAGGGTGGCTAACAATCAGTCTCCATCCGATTCAGTGGGTCGGGGGCTCGAGGCAGGGGTGGGTGGGGCAAGCTTGGCGCTCACTCTCGGTGTGGTGTGACTTCACGCACGGCCGTGTGACAGGGGACCTGGACGGCGTCCTGCCTTTGTGCAAAATCACTGGGAACCTTTTGGCCTGGGGTTAATTTTCACTGGGAGAAATTTTGCATGTTACACCGCCCATTGTTTAATTCCACTTTCAATCCAATTCAACCGGAAAAAAAATTTAAATGAAACGATGCAACCAAATGTTGAAGATTCATTTCAGTATTTCAATTGCATTTGGGCTGTAAAAAACTGTACAAAAAACCACATCCTAGAACCTAAAATTCTAATATTAATATTGACATTTTCTTTTTTTTTTTGTATGGTAGCAGTAAAATCAAGGGATAATGGTCCTAGGATTGGCTGGTTAGATATTTTACTACAATGGCTGCCTTTTAATGGGGGCCCAAGGTGCTGGACGGATTGGTATGTTGTAAATAATTATGTACAGAGCACAGGAAGTGGATTTTACACATACATACATGCATACACACACACACACACACACACACACATATATATATATATATATATATATATATATGTATATAAAAAATAAAAATATTATATAATATATTAAATGAATCCCATTCCACTTCCTGTGCACTGTAATGTTTATATAACATGTTATATAATATGCTTAAAGCAATACAGACTGAGTTGCTTAATCATGGGTTCTGTGCATATTTTCATAGGGGCTGGTTCACGGCCTCAGCAGGCAGTGGGTGGGTTCCATGGTTTTCACTGTCATTTCATCCTGCCATCTTGGTGATTGCAGAACTTCAATCGGCCCTTTTCCACCTTTTTACGTGTTTTTTTTTTTTTCTTGTGATATGGAAAGTCTTCTTCCTCCCTTCGCCGTCAGCTCTGTCCAATCACTCTCGCTTACTCCCCCATTGCCCCGCCCACCACCCTAATGGCTCCGCCCCCCAGTACATCCATGCTCTGCTGACCCTGCCGGCCCTCCCCCTCTCTCTCCCCCCCCCCCCCCCCCCCCCCCCCGACAGGGGACTCCGCGTCCGCTGACCCCCTGCTGCTTGACCAGTACGTGGCCGTCACCGATTACGAGAAGCAGGAGAGCTCGGAGATCAGCCTGCACGTGGGCCAGATGGTGGAGGTCATCGAGAAGAACGAGTCCGGTATGGGAGCCTAAAAGCCGGGGGCGAGTGTGTGGGGGGGGGGGGGGATCACGTGACAGGGGAGCTGAGAAATGCTGTCCGGACGATGGGGTTTCATCGGAAAGCAAAGCACACGCTGACAGTCATCATTAAAAAAGCCACTTTGTTTCCACATCTCTGTAAGGATGACTGATACTCAGGCATCATGTGACACAGGCAACACACTGCGTCGTGTTCCAGGACATGCCAGTGGCTGTCAGCAGTACTGATCTTTTATTTGTTTTCTTCCTTATAATATGTCTGTAGTCGGGTGGGGGGGGGGTGGTTTACTAGTCAGCATGTAGTGCTGCACGATATCACGATATCCTTGAGTAACACTGCGATATTTATAAAGCAGAAAATGGAGATGAAAATTACCTGAAATAAACTACTTCCAAATACAACTACAACAAATACCAGAAGAATTGAACTATTTAGTCAAGCACAGGAGCCTTTCAGTTTTAAAGTACTTTTTTGTCCTCCTTGACATGGATTATCTGGGCACCCTTGGTCTGGGACTTGCACTGAAATGCATCACGTACCAAGTCAGCGATGCTGACGCTGTCGGTCCGCAGGCTGGTGGTTCGTCAGCTCTGATGATGCACAGGGTTGGGTTCCTGCCACATGTCTGGAGGCCCAAGACGATCCTGACGACTTCTCCCTGCCGGCAGAAGAAGGTAGGGGCCTGCAGCACCTGCCTTACACCCAGGGTGCCCCCCCCAGTCCAGATTAAATCCAGTCCCACTGTATAATGGAATGACTCGGCATATAAATATCGCCTGGTCTCGATTAATGATGGATCGGGAGAGGGGACGATACCTGAAGAGTCAGTCACTGTACATATTTCACAGAAATGGCATCCGCCGTTTTACTTTGATAAAGCGGAAACGACGAGTGATTTCCCCGTCTCTTCTGCAGTCGTTAGCCTGTGTGTTCCGTCACTGGTTACAGTCTCAGTGCTCACTTCCTGTTTGTTTACTTCCTGCCGCCCACTCTGCCGTCAGTGCCTCGGAGGTTCTGGTCCCTGCCGAGGCACGTGGGTCGCCGACGCACTTTAGGGGATCTGTTCAGCACAGGTTTTGGGCAAGGTGGAGAGCACACCTCATTTACCCCCCCCCCCCCAATCCCCATTCCCCTGCATCCCATGTGAATCATCCTCGTTCTGCATGCGGGACTGCAGCATGGTGTGAAGCTCGCATGTGGCATGCGTGTGGCATGTCTGTGACATGCGTGTTACATGCGTGTGGCATGCAGATGGGGAGGGGGTCTGTCTGCCTCTTACTAATGCATGCACTTAGGCATGGGGAGAGGAAATAATTTTTCCAGTCAGAATGTGAGATTTGTATGTTTAAATTGTGTTTTAATCCAGCGTGTCTGATCTTGTCCAGGAGACCGAGTCCTCTGTGGATGAGTTATTTCGTGATCTGATTTACAAATACAATTGTATACAGAAACTTTTATTAGAGTTAGTAGCAGTATAACATCATGCGGAAATCACGCGTGTGCTGTGTGCCGATTTCTAACAACTGTTTTATTTCATTTTTTTGTCTGTCGAGGGTGTGAGTTTAGTGTTAAGTGTCGCATGAGTTCCACACTTACTGAACACACACACACACACACATATAACTCTGCCCCGGACTGTGAACAAAAGCAAGGACCCACTGTTAGGAGAGAGTTGGGAGTTTTAAATCAGGCCGCCGTGGTCTTATGGATCTGTTCTCAAAATGCAGTCGCCTCTGGACTGTGCTTCGCCCCGCAGAGAAGGGGGGAGAGAGAGAGCATCACACTGTGTACTAGGGATGTAACCGTACGCAGAATTCACAATTCGGTACAAATCTTTGTTTTGGGCTCACGGTTCGGTGCAGTTTTGGTACAGCAAGGGAAACAGGATTTGTTTCTGAGTTGTTTATTTTTACAACGGCAAAAACAATTAGAAACGGTTGTAAACCGAACGCAAAGAAACGTGTCTTTGTAACAAAATCTCAGAGATTCTTGTTTGCGCGTAGTAAAAATAAACGTGTAACATAAATAAAGGCTGAGAATTAAGACAGCATCATAACAATGGTAATGATCTAAATCCCTTATTCTCTACTGCCAAGTTATGAGGAACGCCCATATAGCCTTACATATTTTTTAGCCTGGTCTGAATTTCCTGGCAAATGCCACAGGGAGATTAACTTGCAGAGGCTGTTTCTGCCTCGTTTCAGTCGTGCGCACACTCCCATGATCCCGTCCCAAATGAGTTGGCCTCCTGGATCTGCTTCCAGGATCATTCCCAAGTTTGGTATAGCAGAGCCAACAGCAGTCTTGGTCTTATCAACTACTCTTTCTCCGATGTTGGTGTCATTTTTTGGGAAAACCAAAATGTTCCCAAATTACTCATTTAAGTGACGAAGGAGGGCCTTCGGTTTCTCGTCGCTATGGCTGACTGTGACCGACTGACAGCCGCAATTAGATCAATGTTTTCCGTGTCGAACATTGACTTGTGAAGTTAGGTTCCGTCTATGTCAAGATATGTATTAATTTGTTTCACCGTGCGTTCCGAACCATTGTAGCACTACTCTGTACAGTGAGGACGGGTATGAATGCAGCGCAGGTTTGAGATGTTATCCATCACTGTGGTCTGCATTACAGACCACCGTGAACTGCAGGATTCACAAACGTCTGCGTTCAGTCTTAATAAGGATGCAATGGCTAATGTCTCGTAGAGTAAGATGTGAATTAAAGAGTTAGAGTAGATAATGTATAGGGGATTTTGATCTATTGCAGGCCTTTTAATTTGCTCTGCTTAACTAATTAATTATAAACTGTGTATAACATTTCTCTTTGGCGAAGACTTATACTGTATATATAATACTGTAAGTATTAGTACTTACAGTGCTCACAGAAAGTCTTGAGATACTTGCTTTATTCAGTAAAAATAATGAAGATTTATTGGTTTTATAACAAAAATCATTACTTTTATTTACAAAAAAATATATATCACATTATAAACAACCAGAAGTTTTAAGTAAAACATTAATTTCAAGTAGTAATAAATTGAAACCCAAATTATAGTTCTACAAGAGTTGTTCGGAGTTAAAAAGTTCGTTGACAAGCATTATTGGGGGCTTTTAAATTAGTTTTTTTATTTAATTTGGGAGCCAATGAGTGCAATTGAAATTAATAGCGAAATGGGAAGAACAGAAAAGAATGATTTGGTCAAAAAAAATTTACCCTTGATAAAAAGAAAATGTCTGTGCGGAAGATATTTGTGGGTGAAACCAGTTAATCTGCAGTATTGTTACAGAACTAAGCAAGCGTCCCCTGACTTTCTGTGAGCGTTGTATATCGGGAACGGTGGTTAAGATGCTAATATAGTCCCTGTTCTCCCGCCCTACAGAGGAGAAGTACACAGTGATCTACCCGTACACAGCCCGTGACAAGGATGAGATAGACCTGGAGAAGGGCATGACCGTGGAGGTCATCCAGAGAAACCTGGAGGGCTGGTGGAAGATCAGGTAAAATCAGGGGAGCATCGCTGTTGAGGAGAACCCCTAACTCCTGCTTCCTGGCCCTTCAGCGTCCTCCCCCCCACCCCGCAGGTACCAGGGACAGGAAGGCTGGGCTCCGGCCTCCTACCTGAAGAAGACCGACATCCTGAGTCAGAAGCTGGCAGCGGGTGGAGCGGCGCACGCCAGCACCAACGACCTGGACGGCCTCTCCAGGCAGCAGAACGCCACCAAGGAGAACCGGGAGGGTCAGAGGGAGGCGCGGCCGGGGCCCTTCGCTGACGGCAAGCGCAGTGAGTGGGTTTAACATATCCGCACGGCATGCTGGGTACCGGCAGGTGTCCTCTGGGGAGAAGTGCGGGCCTGCCGCCCACAATTGCGTCGTCTGTCTTAAGTGCTCGCGTCGTCACGGAAACGTGCGTCCCTTCCGTAAATGTAAGGTAGTGATCATTCTAGGATCTGAATCCTAGGAGATGGGACGTCACTTCCTGCGTTGGGGACAAAAATGTGGGTTTAAGAAAGAGAAATTTACCAGGTGGGACGACAAAAAGTACCCCCCCCCCCCCCCCAAACAAAAAGAGCCTAGACCTGCCTCTGACTTAAAATACCGTAATGGCACACTCACCACTCTGTTTACAGAAGACGGGGCCAGACAAAGACCACCTCCTCGCCGCGACCTCACCATTGTAAGTGGATTACTCACCGCCGAGCCTGCGCCTTTAAGAAGATGCCGTTCATATCGTTGAGTCATGCTCATTTTTTTCCTCCCTGTTTCCCGCATGTGCTCAGCCCCGGGGGGTGAACCTGCCCAAGCCCCCCACCCCTCCCCAGGTGGAGGAAGAATACTATACCATTGCAGACTTCCAGACCACCATTCCAGATGGCATCAGCTTCCAGGCTGGGGTTAAAGTAGAGGTGAGATCAGGGACGGTCGCGGATCAAAAGGCTCCCTGTTGCCACGACAACGTGACAAGCCCGCAGAGCTCTCCCAGTTCGGGTCTCATGTGTGAATGGAGCTCAGATGTCACGGATTCCTTTCTGTACCCCTTACATCATGCCATCAGTACTACACCATACTGCAGACTGAGTATAGTGCCTATTGTATTGATTTGTTAGAAATTCATTAGCATTGTTAGCTCAGTCGCTACATCACCTAATTAATTTAGTAATAGCTTAAATGCATTTACAGAAAGCGATGCTGCTGTTTACAGTTACATCTGCAGAGTATGGATAATTTAGCCTAAGAACACAGGAAGTCTTTGCTGCAAATACTCTGCAGCTAACCATAATTTACTAAGTCGCATTCTATAAATGTACGTAGGCCCCTATTAATGGCCATAAGGTTCTGCTGCAGGAAGACGGCTAATCCGGTGTTGAGATGCTTAAACGGATTGGACTGTAAGCAGGACGAAAGCGTGGAATCATCTCATATTACTTTTTATTGATTCTGTTTGTGGATGGAAATGATGGAATAATATGAGCAGTTATGTTCTAAAGCAGGTGACGAGGTAGTGAGGAACACGTATGCGTTACTTACGTAACATCATGGGTGCCGCCTTCAATCTGCCAACTCTGGCTGGCATGGAGAACCGACTCATCGATGGGTTTTCACTTTTGACCTTTGACCTTGCTTTTAGTAAGACGGCCCATTCTATCTTTCTCGATAATGCTAACGGAGGGGTGCAACAGCCAGTTGACCCATTTGGGAGTTTTTGGTTCCTCTCCTCTGTTGTCATCTGGCTTTCTTTCATTTCTTTGTCTTTCCTTTTCCTTGTTTTTGAACTATTCTGTGTAAATGACGTAGGAATGTATCACAACACACCCATGAAAAATGCCTTGGGGCGACTCTGTTGCGTCTATATAAAAATAAATTGATTTAATAGTCCTTTATTGGCCATTGCACAAGTATGAGTGCAGGTACATTGGAATTCTTCTCTTCGCCTCCCCCATCTTGCTCTTCATAGCCCGGGGGTCACAGCACAGGGTCAAACATCGTGCAGAGCCCCCGAAGATGGGGGTTAAGGGCCTTGCTCAAAGGCCCATAGACATGTGACTGCTCTGTCAAGGCCAGTTGAATTGAATTATGTGTACACTGTCATTATACTACAAAATTACCGTACTAAAACAATCTCGGAATCTGATAGCTCGTGCTTTGCGTTTTTAGGTCATCGAGAAGAATTCTAGTGGCTGGTGGTACATCCAGATCGAAGACAAGGAAGGATGGGCCCCTATTACATTCATAGACAAGTATAAGAAGACCAGCAACGCCTCACGGCCCAACTTCCTGGCACCGCTGCCCAACGAAATGGCCCAGTTGAAGCTGGAGGATGAGGTTGCTAACAGCCTGGGCTCTGATGACAACTGGTCCAAACCGCTACCCGAGGAGCCGTCGAGCAACAACGATTCTGCGGCCCGGCCCAAGCTGAGAGACTGGAAGACAAATGCCGGCAAGAGCAATGTTTTCTCAGGACCGCTGCCTCCAGCTCCGGCCACGCCCCCATCTGAGGAGAAACCCGCACTGCCTCCACGGAGGGAGTCCATAAACAAGAGTCTGGAGGTGGAAGTTGCAGAGAAACCCAGGATGGAGCTGTCTAAAGCTCTCCCCCCAAAGCCCCCTGCGCCAGGGGTCATTATGCCCCTGGTCCCCCCCAAGGTGGCTCCTTTCAAGCCAGATAAGCCCCCCGAGCCCAAAAAAGAGGATAAGAACAAACCGTTACACCTCCGGAATGAGATGGGCCTAGAGTGCGGTCACAAGGTGTCCGCCAAGGAAGTCAAGAAGTTTAACCTTAAGCCCGTTCCCAAACCGCCAAAGCCCAAGCCCGAGTCGCCGGAGGAGAAGCCCGAAGCCTCCCCGAGTCCGGCGGCCTTCGTGAAGCCGAAGCCGGTCCTGAGGCCCAAGCCGATCCCGACGGCCAAGCCGGACGTACCGCAAGAGAACAAGGTGGATATCAGCAACCTGCGGAGCAAGCTGCGGCCACCGAAGCCGATGGAAGCGGGGGCGAGCTCTGAGGGCGCCCAGCTGGACGGCTTGGTCAACAACAGCAGCCCTGCTAAGGAAGAGAATGGCCACGGCCAAGATGCGACAGAAGCTCTAAAGGTCGTTGCGTCCTCCCAGAAGGAACCTCCACAGAGACCTTTGGTGGCACCCAGGAGACCTCCTCCTCCCAAAAAGGCTGCCAGTCCTTCGAGTCCCACGGAAACCAAATTCCCAGTGAAAGATTTTACCGAACCGAAGCCCGTCGCCCCACAGAACAGACCTCCTCCCCCAAAACCGAAGGCTTCTGGACCACTGCCGCCCAAGGACAAGGACAAAGATGAATCCAAATTAAAAATAGCTCCGAAGCAATTTAGCAAGATCGAGAAACCAGAGCCGCCGAAAGAGAAACTCCCTCCACTCATAAAAGACGCATCCAAAGAGGAGCTGTTCATTGCCGTGGCCGATTTTGAGGGTGATGAGCAGACCCCGGGGTTTAAGGAGGGAACACTGTTTGAAGTTCTGGAGAAGAACACTAGCGGCTGGTGGTTCTGTAAGAACATAAGCGGCGGTCTAATGAAAGAGGGCTGGATCCCCTCCAATTACCTGGCCAAGAAACCATAGTTTTCAATCAAGAGGCCATGTTTTTTGTTTGTTTTTTCCCCCCCCAATATATTTAAAGTGCTTTTTATTTATAGCTGGTACTTTAATAGTAGCATTTTAATACATTCCATTCATTTCAAGTCCAAGCAAATTAATAATGAAGGAGCAACCATCTAGAACAGGCTTCACTGGACCTGTTTTCTTTAATAGTGTTATGCAAGACTAAAGAGGAGTAGATACTAGAATAACAATGCACTGTTTCATGTGAGGGGGGAAATCCACCCCCCCCTCCCATTTTCGCTCATGCTGTACACCTTTTGAGCCATATATTACCCAAGCCTATAATATTGTTTTTATAATATGTATCAAAAAGCCGCGGTAATTACGCAAGATATGTACGTCTTTCCTGCCATGATAATTTTTCTTATTACGGTAAGTGCGTGCTCAAAGCTTTATACATGCAGGATAGCTAAGGTGGTCCTCGGACACGCAGTATGAACAAAGGAAGACTGGATTGAGAGCTGGGGACAGGTTGGAATTGGACCATCTGATGGAAGCGTGCGGAACTGCCGAAGACGACTCAAGCCAGACGCTCAAGCAAAAGCTGCCTGCTTAGGTTCCCATAAATCTACGGGTGCCAATTCTTCTATATTAGTGTAGTATCAATGTGATAATATTAATGTAGTTCTGTTATTTTTTGTGTGCTAACTTTTTGGCTTCAGCCATTTTTTTTTTAATACATGCCAATTGTTGCGGCTCATGTCCGAGAGTACGGTGCACTTTTTCTTAAGAAAAAAAAAAAAAACAAAAAACAAAAAATCATTCTGTCAGCAGTTCAGGTTCTTGCACTGTGGCTTTATATTTTTTAATTTTATAATGTAATTTTTTGAAGTATTTTAAGATGTGAAGTGCGCTCGTAAAAAGCGCATTGTGTGCAACCGACACCTGCGCAAGATGTTTACAGGAAGTTGTAGGCAGTATTTGAAATACGAGAGCAGAATTTCTCTCAAACTTGTCATTGGCAGTGTGTCCCCCCCCCAACACTCTTCAGTTATGACATCATGATATTATAATGGGCGTGGCTCACTCCCCCTCATATATACACCTTTCATATTCATTAATTTCATTTTATCAAACGAGACTGAGGTGAGTTAGTAAACAAAAAACCATTTGCGTACACTGAATCTCAAGAAGGTGCTCTTTTTCTTTATATAAATGCAGGCGTGACTGGTTTCAAGCCTGCAATTAGCAACTTTAAAACAAAAACAAAGCGATGTTAGTCTCTTTTTTTCCCTCCTTTACCTCATCGTGCCATATGGAATGAGGGCTTTTCTGGGAAGTTGTTCGCGGGCTGTTAAACTTGGACGGGATCAAGGCAACGAAAGGCTCGATCAGACCGTAGGGTTACACATCTCGGTGAAAATGAGCGACAAGGCTGGGAGACCACATGGACCCCTGAAGGCTTTGTGACTCCCGGTTGCTAAGGAACCATTACCTACCGCTATCCTTCGTCCTGTTTCCTCATCTCTCCGGCCAAGTCCATTGCATATTCATTTTCATGGAGCTTCAAAATGTCTATCTATGCAATTTCATTATTATTATTATTTTTTAAAAACACACTAGAAGTTGCACAGTGCAAATCAAATGGCATGACCGACGCTCCATGAAGTTGTAGGGACTTTTGTGCTGGAAAGCTCAGCTTTTGACACATGCAGCAAAGTTGAAAACTGAAAAGGAAAAAAAAAAAACACTATCCCGCCCCACCCTGAACTTTTCACTCTGAAAAACAATGTTTCTGTGTTATATACAGTCAGGACGCAGATTACAGGAGTACCTTTGAAATATCGTATGCTGGTCATTTTGTCATGTTTCCCTATACGTCATAGTACTGTAATTGGCCATTGTTTTTTTTGTTTTTTTAAGTTGTAGAGTAAGAAATTTCACACTTCACTAACTTTGGGATTTTTTTTTTGTTTTTATATTGTGTTAATAAACATTAAAAAGCTCAAGGCTCTTTCTGCCTGTGTTCAAATCGACGCACTACAAATATTTGCAATAGCTAAACTGCTAATACAATCATGAAACACATATATGATGGTTTTCAATATGAAGAAATTACCGTAGTGGAAGTAGGCAGGAAAGGTTACAGTGTATATGTGAACCGTAATCGCCACTCAAAGGCTGTAATTTTGTGTTATTCCTTGTTTTAGGAAACTACTGCGAAATAACTACTATTTAGCTTCCATAAGTAATAAAATTACTGTTTTCATAGTTGGTTTCCTGGCATGTACAGGAAAGTCAGTCTTTTCATGTGATGCCCAGTGAGAATTTAGTGCTAAAATAGATCAGACTTCAGCCTTTAAGTAGTTTTATGCCAGAATTTTGATTCATTAGCAATGAAATTAAAGTGGCTATGCTACTTTATAACTTTAATGCTGCTCTTGTCCAGCAGGATTAAAAAGAATAATTTCGAGCAAAGTACCCCCGCCAAAAAAAAAATTCTATGTTCACTATAAAAAGAACTGAAGGTACGTGACTGCCCTTAAAGATGAGTTATACTAACTGGCAGAAGTGTAAAGCTTGCTAACCCTGATAAAATATGAAATGCACTTTGTCTCCCCCAAAATTCACGGGCCTTGAAAAGGGGTGGACACCCCCCCCCCCATTAGGGTTTCAGCTAGCTGACTGTACATGACAAATTCACCTTCCGGCTGTTCAGGTTGAGTCTTCCAGCGATTTGCAGAAGGTATGAACTCAGCCCTCCACAAAGTTCTTTAAAGCGAATACAACAAACTTGCCGACAAGCTTAAAATAAACTCAAGTTCCTTAAGATAATTACCAGATCTCACTCTCTGGGCCAAAAGCATGTAATACTCATAGAGTAATTAAATAAATTATACACGTGTATAATCTGCCATCTACGCCTCCAGAACCCTGAAGTGGGGGGGGGGAAAGATTGCGGCCAATCCCTCCCGTCCTGGACTGTTCAAAAAATTACCCTCTGGCAAGAGATGCAGGTCTATCAAGACCTGAACCGCAAGCCACAAAAACTGCTGCTTCTCTTCATCCACTGAACTTATCAACAAGCCCCCTGACCCCTGCTGACACAGTCCCTGCCTGTGTCACCTCCCCCCCTCACCCTCTACCAGACATCATACATTTTCATACCTTTATATTACAGTACTCAAATATCTCGTCCCCTGAAAGTCCTTAAAATTATATTGCACAGCTTGGTCTCAATTCTTTTATTCTATTACTTTAATTCTAATTAGCTATTTTTCTTAACACAGAAGACCGCGAGCATAAGTTATCTGTGAAAGTAAGCGGCAATACTGCCAAAACAAATTCCTAGCACAAGGAGTTGTACCTGGCCAATCAGAATTCTGATTCTGAAAAAAAGTGATTCCAGGTGTAGAAAAGACGTAACCACAATGGCGGAGAGTATGCATGAAAAGATGAGTAAATATATTACCGGCCATACTATGCAATAACTGAACACTCTACCTGAGCAGATATGGTGGACGGCAATGTTCATTATAAAGGGACTCAATTTAACTTACCTCTGTATGGCTGCAGGAGCCAAAGTCACTGTCTGACTCACTGGTAAACATCTCAGCGGGATACTCTGGCCTGTAGAAGCTTGTCTGGGAAAGACACCAAGACCTAATGAATCATTTCCATTAAAAATGAAAAAAAAAAAATCCACACTGTTTAGACCGAGTTACTGAAAGAATTTTTATTTATTACCAAAAAAAACAGCAAATTGCACTTCTGTTATTTGGCAGTGCAATAATACAATAAAATATCAATTAACTTAAAAATACACAAATCAATTGTGAATATAATCCTAAATGTCCTTCAAATAAACTTTATTTGTATTTAAATACCCTAAGTCATATTTAACAGTATCAAACTTGGCTCCTGTGGGTAGTTTTACAATGCCAATCCACCAATACACCAATCCAGTGTTCAAAGTCCGTTACAGTAAGATCCCTATTACATGGCAGATATATTAATATATTTTATCGAGCATTCTCAAGATGATTATAAAGATTTATTCCTTAATTATCACGAGGGGGGGAACATTCCTTGGTGGAAAAATTAGCTATGAGTATATATAGAAACTGGTGAAATTAAACGAAACTTGCTTCAGTGTCAGTGTGCAAATGACCTGCTTGTAGCTGGAAAAAGCAATACTAGAGTTGTTTAACCAGCATACAAAGCGGAATTATTTTAAATTTATAGACGTGTAACCGACGGCTCTGTTGTTAATATTTGCAGTGCAAAACTTTTAAACAAATAAAACATTCTACGGTGCACGTTTTGGGAAAATCCGCAGATACTGATTCGATGACTTTGAACATGTAAACAAAACTCTCTTTGTGGGTTACTTATTTTAAGAAAAAGGTTCCCTCTATGGTTTTTTTTGCATTACTATATTTGGCTATGACCCTCCCATCACACTCATGAACTGGATAAGAGTTTTACTTACAGAAAAATGTGCTGAGGGCAGAACAAGAAATGACTAATTGGTTCTCTCTCTAAATCAGATTGTGGAGGTGGGTCCAAGAAACTAGAGGAGGCGGGACCAAGAAATCTGATTGGCTGGCCCCGCCTCCTTTAGGTTATTTCTCTGAACCAATCATTTTTCATTCAGCCCTCAGAACATTTTTGTGTACAGACTTTCAAACTAAGGCACATAACAGGCGCATTTACAGTGATGCACTCAGTGGAGAAACACCGATTTTTTTAGAAATAAAAAGGCAAATTGGGTAAAGCTTGCAAGAGGGCATCCATAAATCGCCCACAAAACTAAGCCTTGAGGGAGATTTTCCCCACTTTGGTCCCTGTACCACACACGATACTTTTGGTCACATCCTGCAGGTTCCTCCGTGAGCTGGTCTGACAGGGTGGGCTGTTATGCAAGAAGAAATCGCAATATAACAAATACATAAACGATAATATGATCCCCTCGTCATGAAAATGATCGCACCTATTTCAAGACTCAAGGTCAAAAAGGATGGACAGAATAAGTGTTCTCTGAATTAAAAAAAAAAAATTAAAAACATAAAATAAGCTTCCTCCTAAACAGCGTTGAAAGAGTTCATGCACTGTAAAGTAAAAACAAAAACCTAAAACTTCGATGACCCGATATTTTCCGGATGAACAAGAGAATCACTCGTTAAAGCAAATTAAAATAAGCTTAACATACAGACATATATAAATATAAATATTAAAAACTCTTTAAAAGGGAATCATCGCTTCGGCCAATGACGGCTTGGCTGTTTGTGCCTTGTATCACGCAGCGGTCCTCAGGGTGACAGCGAACCGCTCCAGGCCTGTTACGTGTTAGAGCACTCGGAGTACGGCAGGAACTTGGCGATTTTGGTGGGCAAGCTGGGATTGTCGCATTCAGAGTCCATGCTCGTCTTAAAAAACAGCTCCTGTTCCCTCTTCTTCCTATTCAGCTCTTCCTCCAGGTCCTAGAAGAAAACATGGAGCATAAAATACTGTAGGCTAAACCTTCACTAAGTCCACCCTCACCACATGGATACTCAGCTGAAGAGCAAATTTCCAAAACTCAGTCAATTTTGTGTTTTTGGGACGAGATCGTCATTGAACTAAAGTCAGACTTCCTCATCATATGTTTCAGTACTGGGAACCAAAACTCACTTAAATTTTCGAAACGCCACAAAAGTCCACTTAAGTTTTCACAAAATCATATCCCGTGGACTGAGTGAGCTTTGGAAATTTGCTTTGCGATTCTGGACGGCCCCTTGCCAAAGTACAGCTGTACTCTATTCATCCCCGTGGGATGTAATTGGCTGTGCGTCTGCCAATCAGAGGTGGAGTAGCGGGGTACAAGACGAGCATGCAGCCCGTGAAACTCACCATCTTCCTGAACTTGAGCTGCTCCTTCCATTCCCTCAGATACTGGTTATGTTTGTCCTCGAAGTCCTTCAGCTTCATCGTCTCGTTCTCCACCAGCAGGTGGCACTTCTCATTCTGCAGGAAGCGGGAGCTTAATTAACGGTCAAATTTTTTACAAGATATGTTTGCATATCAGAGCACATTTAGTAATGGTTAAGGTTGTCATTGTTGGGATTAGGGTTTTTCCCCCTTAGAAATGAATGGATGGTTCCCACAAAGACACACATTCAAATATGAGGGGGTGTGTGCGTGTCCGTGAGCAGACCCCCACCTGAAGCTGCTGTAGCTCCCTCACGTTGCTGTCACACTCTTCCAACATCTCGCGCATCTGGTTCTCATGCTTTTGCTGCTGGTGGAGCCTTTCCGCTTTCTGCCGCTTGTCCTCCTGCTGGGAAAACTGGGAGACCGGGGGGGGGGGGGTCACACCACTGGTGGAGGAGGACCTGCCCCATGCAGAAGCTACCAGCTCGCAAGGAGGACATTTTTAGATCGAATCTAGTGCTCATTGCTGCTATACCACAGGTAGGGGGCGCTCCAAGGCATTTCACAGGAGAAGAGGTTCGCATGCGAGTCAGTTTATAGACCACAGGAAGACAGAAGGTTCACTTTTATTCTACCAAGACAGCCAAAAGTTAGAAGCTTAAGGGTATCGCTGTGAGGAACATAGCTTGAGCTGGTTGAAAAGACCATGAACGCAGACCAAAGCAGGCAGCGCCGCAAGGTTCAATACGGCACTTCAAGGCCACGGCGCTCACCTGCTTGATCTTCTCGCGGTCCTCGGCGGCGTTGCCGCTGTGGGCGATGCGCAGGCTCTTCTTGTACATGGTCATGCGAGTCTTGCCCTCGCTCCTCTGGATCTTGGGCAGACGGGCCTTCTCCTGCTGCTGCCGGGCTTTCAGGCGCTCCACCATGCGATGGTTGTAGCACTGCATCTGCTCCAGCTCCTGCGGGTGCCACACGCAAAAGGGGACGCCCCCCACGGACAAAATGGTGTCACTCCAACAAACACATTACATTTTGTCGATGGGGCAAAATACAGAGAAGTTTTTACCAGAAAGTTAGCCAATGATATGCTTTGAATCAATGAGTGACAGGCGATGGGGCATTGCAGGGACCAATCAGCTTTTAGCTGGGGCCAGTATCCCAGTGGCCCCGCCCCTGTACAGGTCCATTTATTGTAAGAAGTAAGGGGTGTTTAAGGACCCCGTTGGGCGACACCCTGGGACACACAGACTGTACCTTCTCATGCTTCTTGAGTAACTGGTGCCTTTGGAGGAAGTACTGGTCCTTAAGCTGCTGCTTAGCCAGCTGAAATGTCTCCTGCATGTTCTGTTCCTCCATTTCCCAGAGGATTCCTTCCCTATCTAGGGTGGGGGGGGGAGGTACAGTGTCAGCGTTATGGCTATAACAGGTGGGGGGGGTCAGAGCATTCCAACTGGGTCCAGTTCCGTGGGGCAGCCTCACCTCGGAGGAGGTTTTGCTTCTTGTCCAGACACTGCCGCTCCATCTCGCAGGTCTCCCGCTTGTTTTCGACGATGATGCTCTTCAGCTGGGTGTCCAGGTAGTTCTTCTGGCCAGCGAAGAACTCCTCCTCCTGAAAGATGGAGTGAACGAACTTTGGATCAGACTGGGGGGGGGGACGACGACGACGAACTACCACAAAATACTTCTGAGGACACACAAGACACAACTGGAGGCTGAGACACAATTGGAAGGAGATGCCCTAAAAGAACGAGAATAACTAATCAAGAGTTTCTCAGTCAGAAAATCCCAGTCCATATTTTTTCTCCCTCCCAGCTCCCAACACACCTATACCAGGCATTCAGTAGTTCTGATTGTTTGCGTCAGGTATGCTGGGAGGTCATGGGGGGTCCTAGTGGACTGGGCTGAGAAACGCTGAACTGTGAATTGTCTTGCACTGTCTTGTCTTTGTTGCACTGCAGTTTGTCCTGTATTGCACTGCAGCTTGTCCCGTATTGCACTGCAGCTTGTCCCGTATTGCACTGCAGCTTGTCCCGTATTGCACTGCAG